AATTGGGACCCCCCAGAAGGTTTTACATTTTTAAAAAAGACAGTCGGGACCTCCGAGAAGGTTTTACATTTTTAAGAAGACAGTTGGGAACCCCGAGAAGGCTTTACATTTTAAAAAGACAATTGGAACCCCCGAGAAGGCTTTACATTTTTAAAAAAGACAGTTGGGAACCCCGAGAAGGTTTTACATTTTTAAACAACACAGTTGGGAACCCCGAGAAGGTTTTACATTTTTAAAAAAGACAATTGGGACCCTCGAGAAGGTTTTACATTTTTAAAAAAGACAGTTAGGAAACCCGAGAAGGTTTCACATTAAAAAAGGACATTTGGGGTTCCCGAGAGTGTTTTACATTTTTAAAAAGAGACAGTTGGGAACCCCAAGAGGGTTTCACATTAAAAAAAGTACATTGGGACTCCCGAGGAGGTTTGACATTTTTAAAAGAGACAGTTGGGAACCCCGAGAAGGCTTTACATTTTAAAAAGACAATTGGAACCCCCGAGAAGGTTTTACATTTTTAAAAAAGACAGTTGAGAACCCCGAGAATGTTTTACATTTTTAAAAAAGACAGTTGGGAACCCCGAGAAGGTTTTACATTTTTAAAAAAGACAATTGGGACCCTCGAGAAGGTTTTACATTTTTAAAAAAGACAGTTAGGAAACCCGAGAGGGTTTCACATTAAAAAAGGACATTTGGGGTTCCCGAGAATGTTTTACATTTTTAAAAAGAGACAGTTGGGAACCCCAAGAGGGTTTCACATTAAAAAAAGTACATTGGGACTCCCGAGGAGGTTTGACATTTTTAAAAGAGACAGTTGGGAACCCCGAGAAAGTTTCATATTTTTAAAAAGACAGTTAGGAAACCCGAGAAGGTTTCACATTAAAAAAAGGACATTTGGGGCTCCCGAAAATGTTTTACATTTTTAAAAAGAGATAGTTGGGAACCCCAAGAGGGTTTCACATTAAAAAAAGTACATTGGGACTCCCGAGAAGGTTTTACATTTTTAAAAGAGACAGTTGGTAACCCCGAGAAAGTTTCATATTTTTAAAAAGTACATTTGGGAACCCCGAGAAGGTTTGATATTTCAAAAAAAGAGTTGGGAACCCCGAGAAGGTTTTACATTTTCAAAAAAGACAGTTGGGATCCCCGAGAAGGTTTTACATTTTTAAAAACAGTTGGGAACCCTGAGAAGGTTTTACATTTTTAAAAAAGACAGTTGGGATCCTGGGGAAGGTTCTAAGCGAAAAAACTGAAAGCGGATTCGTACACTACGAAGTATAGAAGTACGTTTTTATATAACATTAAAAATATTTTAAAATATAATTCAATGAAATGACGTCATCAAATTGTTGGTGGGGATGATTATCCAAATGTTGAGTAACATTTAACCATCTACGTGATATTTCTAATATACATAAAAAATTTGACAACAATCGGTCCAGCAGTTTCGGAGATTACTTATCTAATAAAAATGGATACACACACCAGACAGAGAGACAAACAGACAGAGGGACGGACAGTCAGACAGACACACGAAAACGGGAGAAAACATAAAAGCGGCACTTCGTAGGATGGACTCGATTGCTAATACTTCCTGAGCTTACGCTCGGGAAGTAAAAATTAATTATGAGGATTTTTATTCACATTTTTTAAAAGAAGACTGGTTTGTTAATTCATAAAACTCAAGTAAACAATGAACATTTCACTCTATGTTATTTAGATACTAGCTCTTGTAAGGAATGGATTACAATTTAAGAGAGGGCGAACATTACACAAAATACCCAAAACAATGGGATATAAACATAAAAAATTTAACAATAGATGACTATTATCGGAAAGATCGGACCTCAAAGTTCTAAAAATAAAATTTCTTAAACATTATTTTTATTCTCAAAATTTTTCATTTTATATAAATCGATGAGACATGAAGAGGAACGACCCTAAAATCATGAATGCTCAATTGTTTCAAAAGTGGATAATTAACCAGCTAAAACCAAGTAGCTAACTTAAAACAAGGTGTCTCGTTATAATGGATAATGCCCCCTATCCTTTTGAAAAAAATCTCTAAATCCAGCTTCATCTGAAACGGTAGCAATTTAATGTATAAGAGCTTCCGCACCAGGGGCATGAAGTTTTGCGTCTTCCGCCGTATCAGTGGCATTTTAACCCAATAGAACTATCATGGGGATTCATTAAAATATGGTATAACAGGCATAGATGTCGGAGCAGGACCTTCAACTAAGGATAAAGTTTTCAATGTTTGGCAGACAGCAATAAACAATTTTATCACAGACATGTGGCGAAACAGCGTCCAACATTGTGAGGAGATTATCCAAAAGGAATGGGTGAAGTCGATGGGGTATTTTCTCTCAAATTACATAGCAGTTTTAATCTCCCTTGCTGAACCAGTTTCCGGTAATTTGGAGTAATTCTGTATAGATTCGGAGGGCGACGATTGACTCACCACGATCAACGACTGACCTGTGTGTGTTTAGATTAGTGCCTAATAGATTCATCCGCATTTGTGCTAGCGTGTTGACCAGTTCACTTATGTTTATGTTTTCGCGTGTTATTGTTTGCGATTTAAAAAAATTAATTTAAAATAACCCCCTTCAGAGGTGTGTAGTTACGCTACTGACTGACAGTCCGTTGTCAGATTCTGATGACTCACCATGTTGAACTTAAAATAATCCATCTCTAACAACCCTTGTCCTTCAACACTAGGTAATAGAAATCTGACTCTCAAGTGTTTATTTATGTTTATACATAGAAAGAATGTCACGTAGAAATTAGTTTGATTTGAAGAGTTTGTTTTCTCAAAACACAAAAAATTTGAACGTTTCGGGTAAAAAATCACCACGGAGTCATAAACTACGTGTGTAGGACTATGTTATTTTACACAATTTAAAACTAGATATATTTATGTTGTTTACAACTAAAACACTGTAAGCGCAATTTAGCGATCTGTCAAATTCTGTTAAAAAAGATATACTGGTGCAACACAGGAGTTCTTCCTAATTTTGGCGACAGATATAAATGTTTTCAAAAATATGTGCACAGTCTTTCAGAACTCGATCAAATCTCAATCAACCGAAAATTCCAATAAAAAGCTATATTTTGAAATGAAATTAAAAATAAATGGAGGTTCTAGTTTGATCGAGTAGATATCAGTTCCATCACATAGCTGCAATATAAAGATTCTAAGGTTTGTGCTTATCAAATAGTGCTCGACATCCATACAGTGGGGCACTTGAGAATCAAAATATTTGTTAAAAATTATAGGGACGATTTTTGGAAGCAGTGACCTGTATATACCGAAGGATTACGTAACTCGATAAATGCCACTGTAGCATAGCATCACAACTATTGATTGCGACAGGTTATTAACGCATTTGCAATTTCCATAGCCAATTTTCGGAATAATTTCGGAATAATTTCAACTACTTGCCCTCAAGCCTTCCAAAGGTGATTAAAAATTGTAGCTTTGTTATGGTTGTAGCACAGGATATTACTATGTCCCCTTTAAATACCAGTAGATACGTGATAATTTTTGCGTCACCCACTTATTGAACCGTACCCGACTAAATCGTTTCTCTTGTTCACACATTTTAATCGATTCCTGATTCGAACGAACTCTGTGGTTGTGTGCGTGACAGAAAGATCCTGATTTGGAAAGACGGGATACACGGATACGTAGAGCGTATGGGTGGATTTAGTGTCTTGTGTTTGGAACGAATTAGTCCTATAGTATTGTGGTTATCGCCGGATCAAGTCTAGACCCACAAATTCCCCGTTTGCATCGTGACTTGTGCGGTAATGGCTGTGAGCGTATGTGTTGGCAGCTGCCCCTAGGTCAAGATGGCTTTGGAAACCGTGATTACGCCGTTGCGTGCAAACCGTGATTTGGTAGTCCTGTGGGTAGGTGGGTAATTGTTCGTGTACATAATCGACGAATACGGTGGTGCCATTTTGTTATTATTTGTCAGAATTAAAATGCTAAGTTTTTTTGAATGAGTCACTAGGCGAGGTAAAGAAATTTTGTCTCCATTTGTTTCAACAAGATGGGACAACAACTCACTTTTGAACTTATCTGAATATTTAAATGCCTTGTTAAATTAGATATTCATGTTTTAGTAAGTTTGCTACATCTAGATTAATTAGAGTTTCAACACTTTCACACTTTTAAGCTTTTGAGATCGATAATTGAGTAAGACTTTAGTTTCAAGTTTAGGTAAGGAGCTGCTATTTAAAGTGTTACAGAGATGATTAATGCTGAACTTGTAGCCCTATATTAATATCATACTTGACCCCATCCCGTGTACTTTGAGTAATTCGATGGCTGCTTCATAGCATATGGCAGACTCCATCTAACTTCGAAGCTCCAACAAATCATTAATAAGTGAACTTGCAAAGCTTGCTTCTTTCGAGTTTCAAAGCACCAAAGTCACGTATATCAAATATGTGTTTAAATAATTTTTGGCCATAGATCGAAGCTTTTGATTAGTTTCAGCAAAAATAGCTCAAAGCTCTGTATGTGTACGCAAAATTAGCGAAATAAGGCATTACGCAACATTAGGGAGTTATCTACAAATCTACAGTTTATGGAAATTAGATGCTATACTTTACGCGATATTGTGAAAGTTTACTAATACAAGAAAGTATCAAAATCTCATAAAACAAACTTTTTCTTTCAGTTTATTTCACGAAGTTGTTATGAGATTGTTGCATCACCTTTATAGGCATTTGAAAAGAAACTTTTCGAGGAGGTAAAACTATTTCTTGTTATTGAACCCAGAATCCGATATCTTGTTAATATAAGAACGTCGCAGCAATATGAAGTGGATTATGCAACATCAAGGCAAAGATTTATAATTAGTCGATTTATAACTCATGTATACCCGTCCCCGAAGGAAAATTTCAATATTTTTTCCATCAATAATAGACGGTGGTTGGTCAACAACAGATTACGGTCATCGACACGACTATCGCATGTGAAATATTACCTTCTGAAATAATGTTGCCATCATCCATAGTCCAGTAATTAATGGATCTCGGATACGCTTCCGAGTGGCACTCCAAAGTTATTTGCTGGCCCTCCATCGCTCCGACCAGTTGATTTTGTATCCAGATCATCGGCGGAACTAGAAAATAACGACTTCGCAACTCAAAGTCTCGATTCTTTTCCGATAAACTCACAATGGACCCTCAGCATGATCCTCTTGCTAACAGATGGCGGAACGCCGTTGGAGGCGATGCACAAATATGGACCCATGTGCAGACGGTTCACCTTGCTTATGTTGAACGTCGTCCCGTCGATGCTGGCAACTGCAAGAAGCAACACATTATTACATATTCATTGGAGCGGAACGACCGATAAAGGTTTTATCGGAACTCCATTTAGATGGCTATCGACTCCAAACTACCGATGTTCCAATAATTAGATGAGCACTTCAATAAATTTTATGAGTACTTATCGAGCTTTAGGTGTCTATTGTGCGAAATAAATTAAAGACAGGTCATATTCCGTTATCAGAATTCGCTAATGACGTGATTACTGGGTGGCGGCGCTAGAAGCGGGACCCAGTTTCAGAACTTAATTACATAAATATCGTAATCGCTTTTTTAACTCCTGCGATTAAGAAGTTCGCGCAATAAGGTACAATTTTCGGCGCGGGTTTCAACAGACCCCGGCGTTTTGGGGAATTTGAATTAATGGTCTGATACTTTTCGACGGAAATACACTTCAATAAAAATGTAAAAAGCTAATTTAAATTTAATTCCGACGCGGGACAAATTTAACCGCTTCGACACAGTGTGAGTTTCAAGTAACGTCACGCGCCGACAACAGCTTGGTCACGCTTCAAAGCAGATGATTTTCACGACGCTGTCTAGAAATAGTGCTTTTTCGTACAGCAACAAGAAAAGTAAACGGTCTTGAGAAATTTAAGTTTGCGCTCGGAAAACGTATCTTGTAGTTCGTACCGCTAACGTCTTTAAATTGTTGTAGGTTAAGGTATGTTATCAAAAATAATAATAATAATTTTTTAAATAATGAAGAAATTACATGATTACTTCGGATTAGTGATTAAATCGAAATGCGTTCACAAAGTTTCGGGAAACGCTCGCGTACTTTGAGAGGGAATAAATGTTCGAATTCAAGCCACAAGAAATTTTTAAACCTACAACAAGAAAACTAAATCTGTAAAAATATATTAAAGTCCTTGCGTTTTTTGACTGTAACACGTGTTGTTTAAGAGATACACGGTAATATTGACACAAAGCGAACAATAAAATGGAGTAGATGCAGTAACAAAAGTACTCTTGTATTAAGTTCTATTTGTAAAACTGCAATAACGATATCTGAAAATTGTAACATGACGTCATGTTATAATTTTGCGGAATAAATGTTCTTCAAATTGCTGCGTGTTTTGGAAAAAAAAACTAAGTAGCTTGATTAATTAATTAATTAGTCTTTTTCTCTGCGTTGAGGAAACAAAATCAATGAAATTGCATTTTCTTGCAATGTGAACGTGCTTATAGTTGAATTCCTTCGCAGTGTAAACATAAACAGTCGAAGTTAAGCATGTACTGAGAAGTTGAGAATATCTACATTTTTCCCGTTGTACTTCCGGGGGTGTTATTTACGGGTTGCGGGAGTGTTATTTACACTACTGACTTTCACTTTATAAAGTTATCACAAAACGAAAATCGCAAAATCAGATTTTATAATTTTTTAATTGTTCAAAGGAAAATTCCACTCCTTTGAAAATTAAAGGACTGACTATATTTCAAGAGTGAGGGAAGTTTTGTCAAAATAACTTAGGACCAATTTTTTAGAATTGCTCGTTTAAGCTGATCCAAAAATTAATAAACGAAGCAATATTAATACTGTTATTATTAGTACTATTACAGTTCGGTACCTATCCAAATTTATGTCATTATCGCAAAATTTTCTTACGAGAAACTCACTTCAAAGACCTGCTTTTTATAAGAGATTCAACAGTCCATACATATTTTGATTTTAACTTATAGGCGTTATCATGAAAAAAATGGATCTTCTACCTCAGGTGCGTACGAAATTTTGTCTAGCACTTACTCAGATAAGACTGATTTTGGCAGACGCCATACCTTCTGAGAAAATAGGGGCGGGTGGGCGGGGCTAGTACTTGCCAAAATAAGATTGATTTTGGTAAATTACTAAATCACATTAAGAGTAATCACTGGCATGATTTCGCTTACGCTCGGGAAGTAAAAAAAAATAGAAGTAGGTAGTTTTGAATAAATAAAGTGATCCCGTTGTGAATATACTGAGAGCAACAAAAACACGATCACAGACAGCCATGGATTTTTGGGGGTTTGTCTTTGATAGAAGAGTCATTTTGTCAGATTACCGTGAATTTGAAAATACAACAATCAAAGACATATCTTCGAAAATCTATGGCTGTCTTTGATCGTGTTTTTATTGCTTTCTCGGCACAACGTGTCCATACATGATCCTGGTATCAAAGGTGGCTCGGGAACGTCTTTGGTGGTTATTTTACCACAGTGAAGCTTTGGCAACCGAATTTATGGACACGCTTTATAAAGTGAACTTGTGACCAACTATAAAAACAATAGAGAACGTAGTTGGCTGTGAAAAAAATAAAGTTTATCTCAAAAACAAATAAATAGTAATTAATTTTTTTATTACATACGTTAAACAAAGAAATCTATCATTAAATATTAAAACCTTCAAAATAATATTATAAATTTTAATCTAAATTATCTGAAAAAGTTTATTTTCGGAGATAAAAAATCGACTCGGACGACAGACACGTTGTAACTAATAGTAGCCCCGCCCACCCGCCCCCTATTTTCTCAGAGGATATGTCATTTGCCAAAATCAGTCTTATCTTACCAAGTACTAGCCCCGCCCACCCTCCCTTCATTTTCTCGGTAGTACTTGCTAAGATAAGTCTTATTTTGGCAAATGACATATCGTCTGAGAAAATACGGGCGGGTGGGCGGGGATAGCACTTGCTCAGAAAAGACTGATTTTGGCAAACGCCATACCCTCTGAGAAAATAGGGGGTGGGTGGGCGGGGCGAGTACTTGCCAAGATAAGATTGATTTTGGTAAATGACTAAACCATATTAAGAGTAGAACAATTTTTAATATATATATATATATATATATAACCCTAAATTTACGATTCCGATCCGATGACTTCCTTAAATTTATCCGACTCATCGAATTCTCACTGATTTTTAGTTCCTTAGAACATCGTTCGTCTTCCTTGAGGTTCTTCACCAATTTTCTTTGTGGCTTTGAAAATAATTGATCAAATGGGAGATGGCAAACAAAACTTGATTTCATGGACGTTCCAACCCAAGATCACTTGGTATATAAAAATTATTATTTAAGGAATATCTTAAAAATTACGTTATTGCCATACAGAGAAACAGCAACGGACTCAGTATGAATCACTGAGGTACCCCATACATGATGTGGGTGGTAGATGAGGATATACAATTCATCTTAGTCTATTGGTATCTATTAGTTAAATAAGACATTATTGGATTAACACTATTTGGATGGAAATTATAAAAGTAAAATTTATACAACATACTGGCAAATGCTTTAGATAAAAAAAATTGTATTAGTATACTATTTGTTGTTTCTTAAAAGAATTAATGATGTTTTCAATTTAGGAATTAATTTCATTAATACTTCAATGTAGATCCCGGAAACCAACTTTTATTCGAAAATTGTTTAGCTGATAATATTAATTAATGGTTAAATATAAAATTCGATTTTTTAAATGTTTTTACAAAGATCTGAATGTCTAGCTTAGAAATCAAGGTGGAATCAGAAGCTACAAGTGTATCTTCATCTACCAAATTTATAGTGGGGAGGATTAGACAAATTTTGATTAACGTTATACAATGTACACGATATTCTTGAGATATATGTATGTAAAATTTCGCAACAATCGGTCCAGCAGTTCCGGAGATTATATCCCCAATAAAAATTCACACAGACGGCAGATGGCAGATGATAGATGGAAACGGGCTACCTAATATTCCATACTTTAGAGGTTTACGTCGAGAAAACATGAAAGTAGTCATTCGCCGGATGGACCTGTTGGTAAGCGAAGAAAAATGTTGCTTCTCCGGTGGGAATCGTACCGCACGTTTACCGCTTGCCGGGCGGGTGCCCTTACCACTAGACTACGGAGGAACTTATCTTTCCTCGCTTACTACTACGTATTATTGTGGCGCCACAGACCCTATTACAACACTTGCTTAGCTTACTGTTCGGAACTAAAAAAATCTATATTGGCTATTTTCAGAAAATGAGATATAAGTGTTAACACGTTCTTAAAGAATTTGAATTGGAATTTAGAGGAATTTTAATAGTGCCGTTGGGACACGCCTGGTCGGTTTAGGCACCACAGGAAGTTCAGATAGTTTCTCGGGCACCAGGTTCCTCTCCAGAGGCGGACACCTCGGAGTACTCTAGCTGGAGAAACGGATCTCCAGAGGTCTAAGCGGCAGAAGGAAATAATACTCCGGTTAATAGTTAAAAATATAGGGTTTTTGTTGCCTATCAGACTCTTACAACTAAGATAGAATATCGGATAAAAATACTACAGCCTCCCTGGCAGCGGATCCTGACTATGCTGCTACGGATCTTGGGGAGGCGGGGATGGTTTTAACAGTACGTGCACTTTTTCAAAATTGAAATATGCGAAGCATTAAATTCTTAAGATCACGATTTGAGCGAGGTAAGGAATTTAAAATATTGTGTACAGCATTGGCGAAGAAATAGTTGTAATTATTCTGGCAACAGTTGCATATTTTCACTTAATTTAAGTGAGAAATGGCCAGTAATTTAGTTTTGTTGTTATCTCAGTTGCTAATAATAATTAGGTGAAATATATTGGGCCACAAAAATTCACTTAAAAGTAGATAAATCGTTAAAAAAAACCAAACTAGATACTTTAGGCAATATTCATAAAATTAGTATTGAACTGACTGTTGATCCCGTGAAGTCGACAAAAATAGACCCAAACATTGTCTATTTGCCATCACCAACAACGTGACCTCACCTCAAAATTCTGCTTCGAAAAGGTTATTTAGATTTTATAGAATAACATACTCCCATACATGTGGTTTATGAATCCGTCTTGAATTTTTACCATAGATTCTAGATTTTTGGAAAAAAGATTGGAAAGGTATAATAACATTTTACAATTTCACCCCTGACACCTCGGTCCTCTCATCCGCAATGTGTCACATTTTTGGTGTATGGAAGGTATCTACATATATAAAGTAATCCAAGAG